TCCAACCTGTTTGATCACGTGTCGAAAGTGCCAAACTCAGCGGAAGTCTCGCACGAAATGCTCGTTTTGCTGCTCCCACGTGTCTCGTCTCGAGTGTCTGGTTTTTCTCGTGGCGTCGCCGTGTCTATGGGGGAAGCGTCGCACTCTACACTTACACTCCACACTCCCCAATTTACACTTTAGACTCCTCACTCCACTCCACACTCCACACTCTACACTTTACACTCCACACTTTACACTTTGCACTTTGCACTCCTCACTCGACACTTTACACTCCACACTCCACACTGTACTCTCCACACTTTGCGCTCCACACTCCACACTCTACACTTTACACTCCTCACTCCACACTTTACACTCCACACTCTACACTTTACACTCCTCACTCCACACTCCACACTCTACACATTCTCACTCTACACTTTACACTCTAGACTTTACACTCCACACTCCACACTCTGCACTTTACACACTCCACACTCCTCACTCCACACTTTACACTCCACATTTCTTACTTTACACTCCACACTCCACACTCTACACTTTCCACTCCACACTCCACACTTTACACTCCACACTTCGCACTCCAAACTCCACACTCTACACTTTACATTCCTCACTCCACACTCCACACTTTACACTCCACACTCTACACTTTACACTCCTCACTCCACACTCTACACATTCTCACTCTACACTTTACACTCCACACTCCACACTCTACACTTTACACACTCCACACTCCTCACTCCACACTTTGCGCTCCACATTTCTTACTTTACACTCCACACTCCACACTCTACACTTTCCACTCCACACTCCACACTTTACACTCCTCACTCCTCACTTTACTCTCCACACTCCACACTCCACACTCCACACTCTACACTTTCCACTCCACACTCCACACTCTACACTTTACACTCTACACTTTACACTCCACACACCACACTTTACAAATTACACTCCTCACTCCACACTCTACACTTTACACTCCACACTCCACACTCCACATTCCACACTTTGCACTTTACACTCCTCACTCCCCACTTTACACTCCACACTTTACACTCCTCACTCCTCACTCTACACATTCTCGCTCTACACTTTACACTCTACACTTTACACTCCACACTCCACACTCGGCACTTTACACACTCCACACTCCTCACTCCACACTTTACACTCCACACTCCTCACTCCACACTTTACACTCCACATTTCTTACTTTACACTCCACACTCCACACTCTACACTTTACACTCCACACTTTGCACTCCACAGTCCACACTCTACACTTTACACTCCTCACTCCGCACTTTACACTCCACACACTACACTTTACACTTTACACGCCACACGCCACACTCCACACCCCACCCCACCCCACCACACTCTACACCCTACACTCTCCACACACACACACACACACGACAAGAATGGATCATTATATGATCCGGCAGGAACTGAATCCTGAAACATGCAAACCAGCCTAGATTATTAGATGAATAAAAGAGCCACATGAGGTACTTCTCGCAAACGATGTAGGGCATCCGAAATTGTCAAACGTAGTCATAACCAGATTCCATAGAGTTTTGACCAGCATGTGGAAATCCAAAATAATGTTTCGGCGATTGTTTCCCAAAATAACCCATAGTTCGTCGGCGACAGGGTCTCGGCGAAAATAAGTCAAAAAACATAATACTGTCGGCGATATGGGTTCGGCGAAAATCTGAGGAAGGTTCTGATGCATGCAATACAGATTGTGGCAACCGTGTAGATTCGAAACAACGCAGTGTAACAGCTTGATCAACAGTTGAAACCAAATTTTGCAGGGACACAGAGTTGATCAGACTCTGCTTCCAGCACAAGTGGATAGCTTCGTTGGGTGCAGTCTCCACTGTGCTCTGCACCCCCCTGCAAATTAGTGAAAACCAATCAGAAGTTTTACATCTGTTCAGATGGTACACACACACCTCGCATGTAGCGAGGTCGGTTTTTTGGAAGAACTTCGCTGGCGGAATCGGCAAGACACCAGTGAAAGTGAACCTGTAATAACCTAATGTACAAAAGGGCGGTCACTTCAGTCAGAAGAGGAATTCGGAGCTTGTAGAAGGACTTCCATAGCATCGTGGAAGCTCATGCGTTCAACCAGCGCCCAAGTCTGATCGAATTCCCCCGATGCCGTAGCAGCCTTCAACGTGTCAGATAGATCTTTGGCTAATTCATGGATCCGGGTGGTCAGCCTTGGTTCATCTCCAGGAGATGTCGTCTCAATGGGCACATTGTGAAAAGGATGGTGTCCATGTACAAGGGGAATCTCAAAATGATGTCGCCAATAGTCCGCTGTGCGCAGGGACCACTCCCAGTTGCCGGAGAGACCATAGAAATAGTGTTCAGGGTCACGACATCGGGAATGCCTTAACAAAGGAATTTCTTCAATGAATAGCTCCCTGGTGTTGTTGGAGTGGGTAATGACCTTGAATTGGATCTGGTGAACCACGCGAGAAGAGAACTGAGCACGATGGAAGTAGTTGTGTGTAGAACTTGAGTCTGTCGGAAATGGAACGCCAGGAGGTGCTGGTCCTGAATATGTATCAGAATGGGCCAGTGTACCCGTAGCAGGTGCCGTACTGTCAGTTACCAAAGGTGCCGGAGTAGGGTTGGTCGTAGTGTCGGGAGCTCCTGAGTGACATAGGGCAGAAGTCGAGGCGTCTGGTACTTGAACTGGGTCGGTAGGAGCGAGTCCACGAGTAGAGTTCGCAGGCCAAGACAAGCCCGCCACGGTCGCGTCTCGTTTGTGTTCCATGGGTGAAACTGTCACAAATACGAGAAATAGTGCAACAACGGCTGAAGCATCAAGAATTGCAGAAGAAAGCCAATCCCGAAATTGATAATATTCACAAAAATGAAAAAATGAAATCCAGTCCTCAATCAAGTGGGTCAGTTGCGACGGAGAAGCCACAGCTCCAAGTCAAATAAAATAGAAATCGAAAAATCCTTTGTGTTAGTGGGGTGTCAAGGAGGAATTGAAAACCCTGTAGCATGGTCTTTTTTGGCCGGCTAGTGCATCAGGGCAGGATCACACCGGAGCTAATTTTGTAGCATTTCAAGCGTAGTACGAAAGGCTGTCTGGTACCCGGGATGAGGAAAGAGGATTCGCGGGAATTGTACTGCCGAAGTCGCCACTCAGGTCGGTATGCCTCCAAAAGCTGCAAGACCGTCATATCATTGGAAACTTGGAATGTACCACCGTCCAAGTCGCAAAAGCGAAACTCCAGGTTCGAGGGATCAATTTGGATGTCCCATTGGGACCTCAATCTTTTGGAGATACAAAAGCGGAGTTCGGCAATTGGGATGAGGCCGGCTTCAACTGGTTCCATCTGACGTGACCAGGTAAACAAAGCTGCAAGTTCAAATCCACTGACATGTCTAAAATTGGAGTTCACCAGAGCCATGTAGTGTTCACGGTCAGGTTCGCTTCGGTGAGTCAATGCCTGTAAGGGAGAGAAGTCAACCAAGATAAGGACAGGTCTGTTTGGAGGAGGGTTCACATCACCAGGGAGGCCTCGATGTCCAGCAATCCACCCAACGGTTCGTGTACCAAGCGGTGTCTCAATCGTAGATGTGGCGCGATATGGATTGGGTCGAGAAGAACGAGCCATTGCGTCGAATGTGAAGTATCGAGGATAAAGCGCAAAGCCCAAGCTGCAAAATGGGTTGGAATAGCCACAGGAACAAGCACAAAGTGTTAGAAATAAAAGAGAAACGGTGTACCTAGTAAATGGTCACACAAAGAGACGATGAATTACAGGTCTTTTTCCGCCGACAAAGAATGTGGTATATTACACACTTGAATCCGACATATCCATCGGGTCAATATCGTTCGCATCCAACGGACCATGTACTTGTTGAGGAGGGACAGCGGGGCGAGTGAGATATACAGTACGGTGTAGTGTTGCCGGTGGGGAAGACGGTGGTGTAGACCGCCAAGGTGGCCAATATAAAGAGGTAGTGGTTCCTTGAGAATGGTGTTGGGCGGAGCGTCCCCAGCATGACTGTAAAATATGGAGGTGGTCCGGTATCGCTTCGTACGGCTGTGAGACATGGACGTTGGAGTGTTCAGGGTGTGGTAAGACGGGAACAGTAGTTGCCGTAGGGGAGGAGGATGATGGTTGAATTGGTACATCATAGTATCTGCGCCAATGG